TCTGGGTATATGTTCAGGTCGTAAGAGTCGAAGCATAAAGCTACACACTACTCGGATTCCTTAACGGTATCATCAATTACACTTTGGAATAACCTTCCACGAGGTTTAAAGATGCTTCTTCAATAAATACATTTAAACGTAAGGTTGAAGCATATTATTTAAAATTACTTGATTGATGTTATTGATTGTATGTATTTTATTGGTATAGTATGTATTTTTTTATTTAAATGTGTATGTATCGGTATACATGTATGTATATGTATATATGTGTGTATAAGTGTATAGATGTCTAAACCAACATATTCATATTATATAATACGTTTTGATTAGTACCTATGTGTAAATAAGTTACTTTTCTCTCGCGACTCTACCCATAGCACTCACTACTACCAAAAGTTAGCTGGCAGAGAATGCCTTTTCGGCATTAAGTGCGCCTTTGTACAATTTTTTTTGTTAAAGTGCAATAAAGAATTTTCTATATATCTGTCTAAGCGTATAGAGAAGACAGTATAATTACATGCTAAGAGATATTTCATCTTCATCCTCAGAGGTGACAACGCCTCAAGTAGCCTCCACTGTCGTATATCAGTTCCAGGTACACATGGCTTGCAGAAATCACTTTTCACTTACGGTCCCAATAAATGTATGTTCGTAGGTCGTGTACATTTTATTAAAAAAAAAAACCTTCATACGGAACCCAGATAATCGTGATTTACTCGTATTCCGTCCGTTATTCTTTGGTTCCACGCTCGCTGATTTTACCTGATAGTTTAGTTACAAATAACGTTTGTGTGTAACCAAAAATACCGTGTTGACGTACGGTTGTGTAAAAACTAATTTGAATAATATACAATCACAAAGAAACAAAGCGTACTAAAGTTTCGGTTTTAGAAGTCAATGGCCATGGTGGAATTAAGTACGGCAGACGAAAATGAATTGAGTTTCAATTTGAAGGTCTCTTAATTTTATTTTTAAGCACGAAAGAAGGAAATAACATGTTTGACATCTACAATATATCATCAATTCAAATTCAAAATGCAAATGTGCTGTCACCCCTGAGGACTAAAACGGAATAACTCGTTTCCAGTAAAAAGAGTATCTGGTTCTCTACACTCATACGAAACACAGCATCATTAAGCTGCTATTTTACGCTGGTATTCTGTAAGAGTGCAGATCGCTGCAGTTATATGCCTATATATGCTATCGTACTGCAGCCATATAGATAATTGTGCTTATTTCTTATAAAGTATGATACCTGTAGGAGATATAATGTTATTTTTTAATTATTTTTAAATTAAATCATATATAAACACAATAACACATCCCGTGCAGGAAAAAAATCGTTTCGGTAGACAATCTTAATTGAATTCGCTCCTCAATAGCTGAGTCATAAGTGTTGAATTCCACTGAACGTTGCGATTGTTTAGCGAAGGTAAACAACGTATGTACATCCGGAATCAGTTGCCTTTATTATCGCTATTTTGTCAAACTTAGTGTTTACACCGTTTAAGTCAAAAATTATGTAGTAGTGTCTATTGAATGAAGTGTTGAACTCTGTACTAAGTCTACGAGTAAAAGACGAGGAAGATGGACAATCACCATGACTCCAGGAGCTCTAGGGCGAGCGATTCCCCTGGGGACACTATGAACGACGTCTATAATGCATGGTGTGAGTATTAAATAGTAAGATCCTTTCAACACGGACGATGAAATAAGAGCGGGTCGGGTGTAAGTAAAACCGCGTATTGGTGGTGAAGGAATATCCAATACCCTATACCATATAGGGTAGTAGATATTCTGTTGTCAATCAATCAATGTTGTAAGATGCGACAAGAAAAACAAACCGGGACCAAAATACAGCAGCGTCTTCCTAATGTCAACTTTAAACAAAACTACGGTTGTCAACCCGCCTTCAAAGCATGACAACTAAGGCATGTATTCCCCTATGATGCAATCTTCAGGTGGCCTACGTTTAGCAATAACCTTTGAACCAAATGATGATGATTATATGATATATGATAATTAAGTGAAGATATTTTTCAGTTCTTGCCATAGAATCTTTTTAGGATTTCCCGTAGTTTTCCATCTTAAGAAAATCATGAAAGGAAATCATTAGATTAACTAAGAATAAAGGACTTCGCTACAATTCAAAGGCGAACTGTAGGAAACGGATATAGCCGTAACGACTTCGTAGAAAAAATAGAATAAGGATACTCATTCTTCTACCTTTTGAACACGGAACTCAACAAATTAATTGTGTCACACTTATGTTGATTTATTTCCGCAAAATGACTCGTTTCAAATATTTAAAAGAAAAAAATAGTATTGCCACAGTATAAAGACCTTACAGTTCGGAAACGAATGTACTTGTGCAGAGCTACGATGGGCTAGCATAGATACTTCGGAGCAACCTTGTGCTAGCGCACTTCACTGAGACTGCTAGACGGTTGGCGCGAGCGATTTTTATTAAGTATTTATTTAACTAATTTTAAGTGCCATTTTTGAAAAATATAATATCTATAATGGTGAATTATTGTTATAATTATATAAGTTACGAATACTAAGTAAAATTGAATTAAAATGACAGCCTACAGCCTAGCAGATAGCAATGACAGCCTAGCATTAAATGTTTCCCTCATTTTTTAATAATATTTATCCGAATGCGAAAACACTACATGATTTAATTTACTAATGGAAAACTGAAAAGATCTTTATAAAAAGAATGTGTCACGAAAATATTTGGCAGTCCAACCCTTGTAATATAGAAATATATCTTTTCTGCAGCTAGTCCGCTATAAAAATAAGATCGTAAAGTAATTTCGTAATGATCGACAATACAACACAATTTTCCGATGCTCTTATTTCCAGGGCGAACAATATGTGGGCGCTGAGCAATGTCCTTTTTCTTAAAAAATGAGTTTCACCGATTCCGAGGAACAGAAACTGATAAACCAGGTGGCCCAATATCCCGCACGGTACGTTCCCTCACTTCCTCTGCATTTAAACATAGGACGTGTGTCTTTTCTCTTATACTTGTATAATAAAAGCAATTCATCATCATTTTCTTCCTCTTCTTACTAAAGATACAAAAATAAATCGCGATCGCTCATTTAAAACACGTCAGACATCATATCCCACTGAACACTCGGAACAGACTGGACACGGGCTGCTGCCGTCTGCGGTCGGGTTCGGAATCATGACTGCAGCGACATGACGACGCAACACGTCGCCTGCTGCTGCTGCCTGCAGTCGGCTACGGAATTGCACACACACAAAATCTTTTACCTTTTTAAGCTCTTTTCCTGTTGTCAATCAATCAATGTTGTTTTTTTTTTATATCAGTGTTATGCCTCAAGTACTTTTCCCGATGTACTTCCTAATATTCGTTTTTTTTAGTCATTCCTTTTCTCTCTTACTGTTTCAAAGACTTAAGCAACACCAATGTTCACAACAGTACCTGTGCATACGAAAGTATCAACGGCGAACGATTGTCCTTCAAAATTCAAGTCACTCTTTCTAACGTCACATGTCTCTCACAAACTACAAAACAGCGATTTCATTCCCGCTTACGTTACATCTTGAGACAATAGGGTCGAAAATCGCCTACACTGCTTTCCATACACAATGCGATTCGCGCTTTGTTCGAAAACAATGAGATGTCAACACTGGTAAGGAGCCGAGTTTGCGAATGGAATCAATTTCGATGCCTGACCTGAAAATAAAGTGTACAGTCGGCAGAACATTTGCTAGTGACTGCCAAATTGGTTAGGCAATTATGACGTCTGTTGAAATAGCATGACACAATTATTTTAATATTGGGTGGTCTCTTTGATAATGGTTTGAACTTCTAATAAATGGGAATCGGTCTATTTTAAACAGTCATTAGGTAGGTACATGTTTTTAGGAAGTAGTAAGTTTTCTCGAAGAGCGCTTGTTGCCCTGAAACTATAATTACAAACCCTTTCAATCCGTACTCGTATTATTTCTATTCGCACATCGGTTAAAATGTCACATCAAAAACACAATTTTTACTTGTAACAAAAGAGAATAGAATTAGTTTTAGGTTACTTGAAACACTATAATTAGTATTCTTGAATTAAAATACGTTTTTTAATCGGCCTATAAAAGTCCGCTTCTAGACGTAACGTGACATGAACATATAGTATAGCTATAGGCATGGGCATAGGTATAGGCATACCGTTGCGTTGTAGAGAGGATTCGCCTTATCCCGGGTTTCTATAATTAAAAACGCTTAATTTTTTTACGAGACGTTTTGTAATAAATGATTGTCTGGAAACCCCTTTTGTAAACAAAACGCCAGTTCAAGTATTTATGAAGCGTTTATAGCTTTTTCTTCATTTTAGGTCATCCTAAATGAAGAAAATGTAATATAAAGTGTTTTTGGTGGATGCAGGTGGCTCAGGACCGTGCTTTGTGGCTTACTTGGGGGAGGCCTATGTTCAGTAGCGGACTTCTGAAGGGTTGTAATGAATGATCGAATAGTGTCCTCGTTTGGAATAAAATGAATCGCTACGGGGAACAAAACGTTTCTTAAATATGGGAATCGGGCATTAAACATCATGCTTGTCAGGCGTGTTAACGATCGGTTTGGGTAGTTTACGCCTGATATACAAATGGTTCACCTTCATATATCGGAAGCCTTAAGGCAATTTTTTTTTAGAATAAGAGTGGCAACCTAGTACACAGTCCACCTGATGGTAAGTGGTAAATGCAGATGCTTTGTCACCCCTGGGGTCTAAGAAAGCCTAGTTTCCAGTAAAAAGGGTCTCCAGTTTTTTACACTCACTATACGAAACATAGCAGCATTAAGCTGCTATTTTACGCTGGTATTTACGCTGGACAGCGTGGTCCTTCCCCGGTCGAGCCGATCCGACTTTTCCGTTTAATACGTGCCACAACTATACTACTAATATAGCTACAGCTAGCTTTACCGTAATGTTGCCATAAGATAAATTTCACTTAAACGTATCTATTTCCAGATGAGATGTTAGAGGGCGAAGGCGCGGGGCTGGCGGCCCGCGTGGCCGATCTGGAAGTCCGCTGTGCTCGCCAAGCGGAGGAGCTCCTGTGCCTTCGCTCCACGCTCGCTGATGCTTTGCGACGCCTCAATGCCTTGGAGGGCAGAGCCCCTCCTACAACACAGAAAAACGGCACTTACACAGGTAAGAGTGGGGGGCACGCAAAAATGAACTTTATGAATATTAATACCGTTACAAGCTATTAAAGTCCCAGGCTATTAAATTTCGCACCCGGGTTCAATTCCCATCGGCATCAATGATGTTGCTAATTGCAGTTTTATGTGCTGATTTACCTCGTGTTAGTGGAGGAAAACGTTGTGATAAGGGGAAATATAACCTCAAATGGCTTAGCAAGATCCTCCGTTATGCCGAAAGTATTGCAGCATTAATTTTGAAATAAATATATGATAAAGTTGAGGATTAATGTTAAGAACTATGTTAGACGAAAACACGATTCCGTATAATTTTCTCGATAGAAAAAAAATCCAAAGTTACCTCCAAACTGAACAATAAACCGCTGTTATTCATAAATTACTTTAAATAAGATCATGAAACTTTGCATACTAACTGAACTAACTATAAAGCAGTGCTTATGTTATTTACTTTTTTTTAAATACCATTATTTTCACTGTAAAAAGAAATTACCTAAACTATCGGCGCGTAAGCTTGATTCCTGTCGCCCCGTTACCCCGTTAGTATCGCTCCGGCTTTTGAAGGGAGAAGTTGTGTCGCTTACGATCAGAATACACATTACGCAACAGGACGACGTAAAATTAAAATGGGAAATAACCGTCATAAAAATAAGAAGCGACTGGGTTAGCGTAAAGAAACAGGCATAAATATGATAAACCTATTGAAATAAGTATCTAACGACCTATCTACTTACAGTATTAGTGATTACAAACATGTCGGTACATAGCATACGACGCGCGGAGAAGTGGAGGCGAAATTAGAATTTGAGCTAACTTACTATATCCCCTTAAATATCTAAGAAATAATAAAGTTATGTCGAAGACATGTGTGCTGCTATGGGATGAGAGTGAAATGAGAATGCCTTACAGGGGGATCCCTGTGACTTTGCAGTTAACTTTAATAGGCTATAACTGTTATGGTGACATAATATCTCAATGGCCCATTGAGATATATGAATTGTTATTTCTTAAATTATACGTCATTTTTATGGAAGCTCACGTTATGAACTACACTACATGCTACCTCAGCCTACAGACGTTGATCTCGATCTACTATTGGTAAATAAATTCCTGCGGGGTTAGTCAAGGTGACTTTCTACTATCTTTAACGCTCATAGAAACAATAAAAGTGAATTAAATGTCAAAGTTAAATCACGTGACTGTCACCTACCTAGGACATTCCTATACCTGTGTCACTCCCATTCATGTTTATAATTTTCTAGTAGTGGATTGTAGAAATTCTACTTTGCTAATTCAACTGTTGTCTTTATCAGTGTGTCTAACTTCGTAAGCGTGAACTTATTTGTTTATTTTCATATTTCCAGGGTCAACAGGCACTCCAACACGAGAAGTACGCATGAGGCAGCCCTCATACCGAGAAACAGCAAAGAGAACCTCTAGTTACGGATCCAGCGTCTCATCTCTACCACAAAGGTACAACGGTATACCGACTTTATGACATTAAAATTACATAATAATTGTGGCCGTGGAAGGAAAAGGGAAGATCTCCCGCCGGACAAGGTGTTCTGCCCGGGGAGCGGCCAACACTCCGTGTGATAATTCGGAAATGTTCTATATATACTGTTTATGATTCGGAATGTTGATAGCGCGATTTAGGCTTCGGTGTGTTTTCGCTTGTGGCGGCGACGACAGCGCCGCTACATCACCCCCTGCTCAGACCGGAGGTCGTTAGTGCAGCCTTGTTGCCGACGAATGTGCAAGTGCCAGTGGATTGCCTTGTAGTCTGCGGTGAGTCGAGAAGAAGGCAAGTAATCTGCGAGAGTGCCGTGAAGCAGAGGCGAGCAGTAAGGCTCAGAGCCGTGCCGAACACTGTAGCGCAGAGAGTAGCTTGAAGGAACAGGAAGCATTATTATTCCAGTGCTGCGATGAACCTTGTGAAGCTAGATGGCTTGCAGGATATGAAGACTGCAGACGATATCTACTCGGGAGCGAATGCGTGGGGTACTCTATGACGATGATGAAGCTTGAAGTTTCCGAAGGTTGTTGGTTGCGTGTTCCGATCACGTCGGGGTCACCACTGTGGCCGATGAGGAAGGAAAAGGGGAGATCTCCCGCCGGGCAAGGTGTTCTGCCCGGGGAGCGGCCGACACTCCAAGTGATAATTCGGAGATGTTCTATATATATTGTTTATGATTCGGAATGTTGATAGCGCGATTTAGGCTTCGGTGTGTTTTCGCTTGTGGCGGCGACGACAGCGCCGCTACAATAATTATAACTATTAACAAAAAGTAACAGCCGATTTCGAAGCACTAAAAATATTTTTTATCACCCTTATGGGTGGAATTTTTCCACTAAATTGATATGCAACCACTCCTGAAATATAAGTTATTTAATAAAAAAGAACCTTCAAAATCATACATACATAAACATACAGTCGAATTCTGAACTTTTCCTTTGTTTGAATTCGGTTAAAAAACGGTTTACAGTCCGCCCAATGGAGAGTGGTTACTCAAGCACATCTGTAGCCAACTCCAAACAACAAGCTACATATAAATTGTAGCAGTCCTATAGCGCTGACTTCGTCCAATCTGTTCTTTTTTGGAACGCCCTTCCTTCCGAAGTTAGGAAAGCCGAAAAATATTTTTTGATCGAATCAAGGTTTGGGAACTTTTTATGATTTAAATAGCGCAGAATTTTGAAAGATTTAAAAAAGAAAGATTTAAATAGCGAAGCGACGGTAGCCTAATGGCAGGGCGCGGGTCGCAAACTCAAAAAAGTCGTGGGTTCGAATCCGCCATTCGACTACTAGTGTGAACCACTCTTAACACAAGCATTTTAAGCTTACCACGAGTGGTTAAGGGGAATATTAGTAATATTTATAGCATTGTTAATATTTTTTCTATAGTTTACTTGTTTGTATAAGTCGCGGCACGTAACTCTAGCGCTGAACGAAATGTGGAAGGTATAGGTAAGAACCAATCAGCGTGTGCGAATGATACACACAGCCAATCATACGCAATAATGTGCTATACGGCTAATTATGCGCAATAACGGTCACCGCTAGACTTTCGTGCCGCGAGGTATATTTATCGTTATGTATAAATTATATGTCTATCGAGATAATAAAAGAAAGAGCTGAGACTCTGTAAGTAGAATACCGTATAATGTGTAATTAAACTGCTCCCCGTCACTGGTCTGGCTATTTTACATCTGACTCATGCCGGGTTGTTAAACTACCATCTATTGGAGACCATGAGATCTTCCTGACAACACCTTTCGACTGACTGACACTGACGTTGCCCACGACACGTGATTTATTAATGGATTCCCTGATGCCCCCACAGGATGACTGCTTTTTTAAAATTTTTAGAGCTTGTGTCCGGTTTTTTTTCTTTTCAAAAACTCATTGCCACCTTAAAAATAATGAGATTATGTTGCCATAAAAAATTGTAAGCTGTCTTGCGTTATCGTGATGACAGACCACACCCTTTCCGTTTATTTTTTCTTTATCGGCGACTGTACTTAAATTTTTTTACATTCAGGCGCGGCCCTCAGCATCAATCAACGGGTTCTCTCCAGTCAGACTCCCCAGCGTCCTCATCATCACTATCGCCAGCCCCGTCGCCATCACCACGAGCCACGCCCGCACCACATTTAGCGCCATACCCCCCACAGCCCTACAGGTATATCTCGGATTTCCTATCTGAAATTAATACTACGAAAGTGGTGACAAAATTAAAAATGCAAGTTTATAGAACTTTAAAGACACTAAATACAATGTAACTAGGAATATAACACATACACCACATGTAACAAAAACCCTGTGGTTCCTGTGAAGTGCGTTGTCAGAATCAGTATTCAAGCGTATAGAAATAAAAAACCACATACAATTAGCAAATAATTATTTTTAGATTAAATTTTACAAAAAATATGGTAGAGTTTTCTTAAAAAAGAATTATTTCTATAGACTTGAATACTGATTCTGATAACGTAGTTAACGGGAACCACAGGATTTTTGTTACATGTTTTATAAGTGGAAGGGACATCATAGACCATGCATAAGCACTTAATAAAAGCTGTCATCGATTCTTAAAAGGATACCAAAATAGTATTACGTCTATTGAAACGACCATAGATCTAAAATAGCCCCAAATAACCTCAGCCTTCGATAATATTCGCTGCAGAGGAGTAACAAGTACTATTTGAAAAGAAGCATCACCTATTCCGAAACTATAGTTTCAGTCGTCTCAAAACTACAGCATATTTTAATTAGGCTGGCTGCTGGCTAGGTTTTTGAGCTCAAAACTATACTAGCGTTATTATATATGCTCAGAAATATATACTGGAAATTTTTACTGCGTATATACTATGTATATGTACTATATACTGAGATATACTATATTTCTTTGCGGTACAAAATCCGTAATAAGTATATCCGCAGAAGAACAGGTGTAACTGACATAACCGCCTGGAAACAAACCGTTTGGTTCAAAAGCTGGAATGTCAACAAGGGGTTGAGACCCGCCAACCTGGTTGTCCGATGGTGGCCAAGAGAAGAAGGAATTAAATCATGTAATTCCTTCGCACACACTACCTAATGTATTCTATGAAACACCGAGAGGCTAGCAACTCTGTGCCGTTGCTTGAGGCTTGCATTGGAGATTTGTCTCAAATAAATTGGCCTTCAATTATCAGAATACGACGTTTATCTTCGATACAGATTCTATCAAATAGAGAATTCTTTTTAGCTTGCTAAGAGATCTTTCACTTCCTTGTACGGCTAAAAGTGAAGGACTACGTCTCAGTTCCATAGGTTGAAGGCAGACACGCATTGTTTGTACACTTATATTTAAACTTGGAGTTAAATTTATTTTCAGGAATACTGGACGAGAGGAGATGTCATAATTTTCTGAACGCTACTTAACTGAATCTATAAGCTCAAACTTTTTTTAGAGCTGGAAGTGAAGTACCGCGTCTCAGTTCCATAGGTCAAAAGTAGCAGTAAGAATTGCTTGTACACTTCTTTTAGCTTTAAGTTGAATTTATTTTCAGCAACACAGAACGTGGGGATGTTTCGTAGTTTGCTAAACGCTGCTTAGCCGAATTATGTTTGTAATTGATGTCTTGGAAAGTTTTACTTGTCGGATAACTTGTTCTAAGTGTTCATGTTATCCATGTTCATCTTAAGGATCTTAGGAACCACTAGATACACTATTAGGCGATTTAGCACTACGCTCTATTCCAGCAATTCTGACATAGTTACTATCTAAATCGTAGGTGAGAGCTGTTTTGCAGAGTTTTGGCGGGAACTTGACCACCGGATAATTTCTGCTGCAATATTATTGTTTAAATAAAGGTTTGAAGTGGATTTTGATGCGCAAACGTGATGCTATCATGTCTGAGCGTGAAACAAGTGCTCCGATGTATCTTAATTTATTGTGTGTGTTTAGGCGACTTGGGATACTATCTTCACCGAATATCTGCTGACTCAAGATGTCATCAAAATCTTCCAAATACATTGCGAGGTGACACATCAACATTATTGTAAAGAATCTTTTGAACAAAATATTACAAAGGTTGATTTCTCATTACTTGACACTGGCAAAAGTACAGCCCCCTGCGAGTCCATTACTAAAGAAAGAGATGCATTACAGTCGCTTGTAAACGTCTTGCAAAGCAACATACGTGGTACGTTGCTCTCTCAGAGGGAGTCCTCAAATTTATCGACGCGGAATTGGCTTAAGCCGAGTGCGTGGTTCACAAGCCATCGGCAGTTGACTCCTTCGGAAGACCGTCGTGACCGCTGTTCTCTAACGTTCGACAGTCGGCTCATCACTCGACTGTTGTTCAACGCCGTTCGGCCGTCTTCTGCGCCGTTCGGTTGCCATCGGAGATGAAACCAAGCGAGCAGATGCCGTCGGAAACTTAAACATGTCGACGTGGGCGTGGGACTTCATTCAGCTCCGTACGGATGCGATCAACTACTCGCCAAATTGCTCGTTTTGCCTTCGGTTGAAATCGAGTCGCGTCGTCCGAGCCAAATCGATAGAGTAGCATTAGCAACACCCTTATTCCCTAGACATAAAGGTGTCGATAAATGTGGGGATTCTTTTACTCCAGAAAATGGATCCGTTTCGTACTTTCGTACTGTACAAACACTTCAGAACTTCGAAATACTATGAAAATTTGATGACTTCGTTCGTTCTTAATCGATTGACAGAGGATCATGATAAAGAACCACAATTTCACCAGACGTAACAATTGAATCCAAAACTTCTTTCTGTCGGCTTACTGTAATGTTTCTATGGATAGGTAACGACTATCTGTGCATCAATTCGCTAAGGCAAAAAGGACATTATTAAAAATATAAGTTATTTCTATATATATATATATATATATATATATATATATATATATATATATATATATAGGCTGCTTAATCTAATATAACATAGCATACGTAAATTTGTCGGTTGACTAGCTTTTTAGCAGGTAACTGATTTTTTTTATGTATCTTGTAGATTTTAACACATTCCAATAAAAATAAATTCACAGAAACGCAAGCAAATACTATATTTTTTTTATTCACTAAATGTTTAAAATTTCTGTTCATTATTCCTTTATTATAACTTAAAAAAAAACACTTTCTTCCACTTTTTCTTTAGTATTTTCCTTACCAGTAAAGTAATTTAAATAATTTAATTTACTATGCACAGTCAACAATTTTCACATAATTCGAGCTTCAAACACCATGTAGGCTATGCTATTTACGTACTAGATCGCGAAATAACTCAACTTCGAGCAACCAGAGCGCCTCGCCGGCGAACCTCACCAAGCGATGGAACTCCACAGGCGACTTCAACGCACAGGGCCTTACAGCGAATAGCAGGTCAGTTACAAGCAGTCATACGAACTACATAGATGCGATATCATAATCCAAGATCCCAGAGCCACCAGACTGAGTAGTGTTAGTATGTACTATGATCGCATGCTTACCTGCTAGCTTGACCAGACGGCCATTTTTCAGGTACCAGGTAATCAAGGTACGTAAAAACATTACTTACCTCTCGTTAATTCTCCCACCTGATTTTTACGTATATGTTAGATCGTCATCAATAGTCCTAGACACTTTCCGTCGGCAATATCGCTGTGCGTCTACAAAGCGATATTTCAAAAAAAATTATTTAATTTCACTTAGACAACTATTTTCAAACGTTTTACAAGAAGGCAGACCGATCCCAGGGGTCCACCATCCCCTAGACCCAATAAACGACACTCTAATAGCTTTGAGCAAGTTGTAATAAACACACAGACAGATGCTTAAGCTAAAAAGAGTTCTACCATATCACTTAGTCTAATAATATGTATATAAGATTTTTTTTAATAATAATAATAATTTCTTTTTCATTTAAAGAAAAATGCGGTCTAATAGGTGAACGAAGTACAATCCGATGGCGTAGATAATTTTCTAATTTATTGTTTTTTCCTTGATATGTTATCAAATTGATGTATCAATTACTTCATAAAATTTAAGTTTCAAGTTCAAGCGCATTTCAAATCCAACTTATGCCACGAGCAAAGTTTTGGGCTCTTTTTTTTCAATATTAAGTTCCACTTCGTACATCTTATACACCTTTTTTTCCTTACGATATAAAAGGTCACCTGGTGTTATATATTATACCAACATTAGAAAACATGTAAAATTAATAAAAAGAAGTGTCTCATGGTCTCATAACTTATCTATGTTTTTCTTATGACATTTTATTATGTTTGTAGATTAGTAGTAATATTGCCTTCTAAATATTTAGTATAAAAATGCATAAAATTTAATAGATATGTACCTTATTGAATTTATTCATAAAGAATTGCCGTCTTTTATTTGATGCCATTGTTTTCGAAAACAATAAAAAATAAAATACGTTGAGAATTAAGTATTAAAATAAAAATGTTAAATACCTATCTTATCTTTGTTAATTTTCAAGATCGCTACAAGAAGTTTTTAGAAATGAAAGTTTTATTTGTTTCAATATTGACATAATTTAGTTAATTACATTTTATTCAGCTTCCAGTCTTCTGTGAACTAGACTAAATCGCCTTCCTAGTTGTTTCGTCTCTAATGTGACTTTCTGTTCGTTCCTTAGATTTACAACAACAAAGTCGTTGCTAAATTTGTATTCTAAGCCGTCGCAAAATGGACCCATATTGAAACATGGGTAAGTCAAGTCAATGGTGTTTTATGGTGGTGGGAATTAGTGTTTTCACGGTAACGGTTTATTATGTAACAGGCTTTGGGTGCTTTAACACTAACAGGTTTTATTAGCTTTATGACTAACAAATGCCCTTACTTCGCGAACATGTACGGATATAGTATTTTAATTCACCGTTCGATTTAAAACAATGTTTAGTTTTAAATCAAGTAAGTATTGACTAAATATCATTAATATTACAAAAAAAAAACTTGAGCAGTTTATTAAACTAAAAAAAATAATTTCTTTACGTTTTGCAAACTCAAAGTACTAACTAAGACTCGAGTCAGTAATTCATACATGCTTACTCTGTCACAAATGTCAAATATACATGATATCCGATTAAAAAGTATATTTTTAATTAACAAAAACAGTAAGAATAAATATATTTATTCTTACTGTTTTTGAAATAAAATATTTTTTTATATATAGGTACATGGTCGATAATCTTAAGAATGAAGTGGTATCTACCAAAACATATATTAAATTGTGACCATTGACTTATTATATAAATTTATGATTATGCTGCAAAAGTAAAGTTAGTGCTGCAGAAGTCGGATAAGGACGGCCCAGGTGGAATTTATGAACCAAATTGGCGGTATATTGAAGATGGGCCGAAAACCGCCGAGTTTGTTTACGTAGATATGTCATATAAGCGGGAGATTTGTGTCGTGATCGTACCAATATAATAATTTTTGTCGTAACATTTTGTCTTCTGGACTTGCAGCAAATCAAAAACCTAAGATTTACCGTAGTATTGGAAGTTTGAGTCAATCTATCTGATTTCCTTCATCACTATAGGCTGGCTAAATATTTCAATAAATAAACTCTCTAGGATTGCCCTGATTGAGTGATTAGCGCGTTATTCTCTTATAAATCAATTCTATTAATTATTTTATCGAATACGATCCAAACGAAAAATAACAAAAACACAACATAACACAAACAAAAAACAGCTGTGATAACGATTCTAAAGAAATTCATAAGACTCACTTGTTTTAATTTTTAATGTCCTGCTTTTTACTTTAGATAGTTACAACTTTTTCTTATGATAATTTAATTGTATACTAATATAATATAATATTTATTTATACATAATATTTTAAAAAACCATAATAAAGAAAAATTCAAACTTAAACCTTAAAATGTCATAAAGTCTTACTACCGTTTTTACATTATGGTTGTGTCAAGGACGGCTTGACAGGACAAGGACCACGCTCTCACAGAATACCAACGTAAAATAGCAGCTCAATGCTGCTGTGTTTCTTATGGTGAGTGTAGAGAACCGGAGACTCTTTTTACCGGAAACGAGGCATTCCATTTTAGTCAATTACTATCCATTTTAACCGATTTCGCGTCGATAAATGTGGGGACTTTCTTAATCGTTATGGGTGACAACGCATCTGTATTTTAATTCTTAATCGTATAATATTTATTTATAACAGGAAAACTTACAGCTTTTAATTAATACTATATGGTATAATATAATGTAATTTACAAAGTAAGCCTATTAAAAGTTTTCACAGATGAGTAACCGGTTTGGGTAAATACATGCAACATATATAAGTAGATATAATTTATACATTGATGTCGATTAGATTTAAGAGTTCAAGAGTAAATTGCTACTGAATTCAGATGTTATCAATTTGCAGATAGTAATACCACTAGTAGAAAAGAGGTCAGCCTTATCACAGTCCTTAGAAAATTTATTAAATGAGTTACATGCTCATAAGAAGAATGAGTTTCGCCTGTAATTTGATCTACATAAAGAAACATTTAAGGGATTGTAATAACGCAGTGAACGAGAGGGAACTGAGATATGTAATCTTTTTAATAAGTCAGGGCAGTCTAAACGATCTTGAGCAATTTTACTTAGTAAGGACCAGGTCAGCCGTATAGCGCCTAGTTTGCAGCGGGAGGAGATGAAGATGAGAACACTGCAATTCGTAGCCTCCTTTGAATATATGAAATTTAGAACCTACATATCGAATGATTTTTTTGAATCGCTTCGATTTTGTTAATATATATTTTATATTGAGGATTCCATACTTGACACGCATATTCGAGATGGTTACGAACAAGAGAACAAAACAATATTTTCATTGATTTTAACTGACGGAATTTGCAACAAGACCTTAAAATAAAACCCAGAGCCTTATATGCTTTATTAACGATATCTTCCACATGCTGATCAAACAAAAGCTTAGTATCAATAGTAACTCCAAGGTCCCTTATTTTATCACATCTAGTAACTGTCAATCCTTTAAGTGTGTAACAAAAATAAAGCATATCACGCTTCCGCCCGAAAGACATAGTATTACACTTCGAAACATTCAAGTCTAATTCGTTACGGATACAATAATTATCTAAGTTAATAAGATCGTTTTGTAGGAGATTAGAATCATAAGAGTTGTTGACTACTCTAAAAACTTTCATGTCATCCGCGAAAAGCAAAAACTCGGAGTTTTGGAAACATTCAGCAATATCATTGATAAATGTGACAAAGAGCAATGGGCCAAGTAGCGAACCTTGCGGAACGCCAGAAGGGACACCCGTCCAGCAAGATGTAAATCCGTTTAAAATTTATAATAAATATATGGGCCACAGCATCCGCTTACCATCGTGGACTGTATGCTCGTTTGTCACCTATATTCTATAATAAAATGCAGGTTTCTCACGATGTAATTCTTCACCGCATGTCAGACACTTAAAATTGCAATTATCAACTCTAGGAGTCGGTGGGTTAAACCCGGGTTGCTCTCGCTCTGTAAAATTTAGGACCGCTTAGTCATCATCATCATCATCATCATTACAGCCTTTTACAAGTCCACTGCCGAACATAGGCCTCCCCCAAGGTATGCCACAAAGCACGGTCCTGAGCCACCTGCATACCTCGACCACGTCTTACTAGGTCGTCATTCCATCTAGTGACCACTTAGTATTAAACAATAATTTGCAAGTAAACAATACATTAATTATTGTTTTTGTTTTCCGTGGACAGAAAAAATGGAAGAAAGCGCAAGTACGTCTAAAATAATTTTCTGGAAAAAAATTCGCACTTATGCACGCTTTTTACACATTGTATTCTCTACACATTAATACCCGAAGACTTTAAAGTTTAGATTTTTATGTATTAACAATTAACTAAGACATTTAACAACCTTCATTTACATTTCACCGGTACCGTTACCTACTAAACTCCACTGCTGAACATAGGCCTCCTCTGGATTGTCTCATAAGTTGGATACTTGCCATAATTGCCACGCTTGGCATGCCGATTGGCAACCGCATTTATTTATTTATTTAGGAAATCGCTGCGGCCCATTTCCTGTTTCAGTTTGCCTCTGTCGTCCCGACGCCCACGGGAAGATACGGGGTAGTGGATGTTCTCACACCGCCACTGCACGGCTATTTACATTTTAATTATATTATTTAAACGTTTTTCAAGGCGATCGGACTTTTATACGTGATAAAGCCGTGCTGCAGTAATATTGGTAGTATAGTTGTAGCACGAATGGGTCGGCTCGACCGGGGAAGGACCACGCTCTCACAGAATACCAGCGTTATCCTCTAAACCTGGACCGATTGTTATTTCTTAAGAACAATCATACCTAGTAATGCATTTAAAAAACAAACTGAAATAACATAATATGTGATGACTGTTTTTATTTTATTTCTTATGTTCGTTAAATTTTTGCAGCAAATCTAATAAATACATAACATAATAGTTTTAGAAATTTTAAAAGGGTTCATGTTTTAAAAATTATTAATTTATGAAAAAATTCAACAGAATAATACGGTAGCAGCAGAAATGGATCCTATCATTAAAAATATTTGCTCTAAACTCTAAAGTGTCATCATCCAGTGAGAAAACAGAAATATACGTTTGTATGGACTGAACGCCGTCACCCGGATAACAACGTTTATCTTGAATTTAATAAAAAAGAAGCGACCCCGTCTTAATCCCCGGTAGCACACAGTTGTTAGGTTCAACCTTAAATTCTGATTCCTTAATAATCACATTATATTACCATGATCACGTTTAATACAGTAGATTCATTCAGCTCGGTAACTCGGTAAAATTTATTATTACTTTCTATAGATTCGAAGAGCTTTAGATGTCGCTTTACTAATTTACTTGTAGTCTATGTCGCCGCGGGTGACATCACAGGTTGCAATAATTCAAACTTGTATTTCGTTTGTCTCTCTTATCCTATAAAAAACATTATTTTTTATTAAAGGTCACTGTTTGACTACTCTCCAATGATGATAATTGGTGATGTACTTATCCTAAGATGTTAAAGGACACTGACTTAGCAAATCATCTTAAAAAGGTTAATCACTTTTGCCTTGAAGACACTTAGGTACATTGTAATCGGATGCAAAAACACGCTGGCAAATTATTCCTCTCCTATTGCTGGACGCATTACGGACGAGGAAGCAAACCATTTAGTTCAAATGCGTGACATATCAACAACAAAGCCCTTCTTATATTTGATCTCTGACGGGTTTGACTCAGGTAACTCTGGTGCGATTAATGAGGACATTTACGACTTTCTGCCACCAGAGCGGCGTCACTTAAAAACGAGGTGTAATATTTGACAGATTCCACAACGGCGAAGTTCATTTCTACGAAATATATGTAAAGGTTAATGTTTATTTCTGTGCTATTAGTTTTATTTTGTATTAATTAAATAAAAAAATAATTAAACCAAACCACAGATATTCATAAAAGTAGAAATATTTAAAAAAATGAGATTAAATGTGCAAAAAATTAAATAGCAAACCACTGAGTCATTGTTTTGTGTAATAATATAATACTCTAGAAACTGAAAAAAATTAAAACTAACTTCTCAATTAAATGACATTGTGTAACAAAAAAACTTTACCCAATTGTCAAGTAGCGACATCTGGTGTGTGAATTAGTATTAACCCTCATTTCCCAACTGCATTATGTTTTTCCTTAA